GCCCAGCACAGAATAAGCTGGCGTTATTCCTAGAAGTTATAAAACTAGTACTGCTCACATAAAAGGGTAAAAGACGCAAATCAATAACTATCATACACTGTAATCCTCCATATAGTAGTGAAGGGAATAGTGATCTACAAAGTGAACTAATAGCCAAAAATATACCTAAACAAAACATAACTTCCAGTACTGTGCTGAATAAAATACTGAAAGCAAGCACCCTTGTCTTATTGTTGATCTTAGAGGAAAAGCTTTCAGTCATGCACCATTGATATGATGTTTGCTGTGGGTTTTTCATATATAGCTAAGTGATTTTTTTCATCACTTGAAATAATGGATTTTGTCAAATGACTTTTTTCATCATTTGAAATCATTACTCTGTATGTCCTTACATGTGAAATATTACATGTTTTTCCTTCATTCTGTTACTGTAGTGTATTAAAATAAATGATTTCTGCATGTTGAACCATCCTTGCATTTAGGAATAAATCCCTTGGTCATGATGTATAATTCTTTTAAAATGCTGCTATATTTGGTTTGTTGTTACTTGGTTGAGGACTTATGCATCAATGTTCATAAGGAATATTGGTAGGTAGTTTTCTCTTCATGTAGTATATTTTTCTGGTTCTTTCAACTCTTTTTGTGATTTCTTCTTTGATCCATTGGTTGTTTAAGAGTGTGTTGCTTAATTTTCACAAATTTTTAAGTTTTCCAGTTTTATTTCTGCTATTAATTTCTAACTTCTTGCTGTGGTCAGAAAAGGTACTTTGTATGATAGCTATTTTTAAAACTCAATTGAAAACCCTTACTTTTCCATCCTTTCACTTTTAATATAATTTTCCAGGTTGACTTTGTTTTTACATTCGAAATTTTGTTCTTAACTATAATGATTATGCAGTTGATTCTTCTGGGTTTCCAGGAAAGCAATATTATCAACTAAAAATATTACACTTTGCAGCCATGCTGGGTATGAGTGTCCTGCTCTGACTTTAGCAGCTCCAATGCCTCACATTAAGCATGATATTGCTGGATGCTCTCCAGATAGATAATTGAGTTTTCCTGTGTATCAGACTCACAGAGGCTGTGAGGTTGCCTTTGGTAAACTATTCTTTTTGCTGTTTCTTACAGTTGTTTTCTTTAACACAGACAGAACCAACACTATTTCCTTACATGTGAAATGCGTGTTTAACATATATCTGTATCCTACTAAGAGGACTAATGTGTTTTATTTTTTAAACCTTTAAGTTCCTCTGAGACTTTTCCAATAAGCTGTCAAACTTCAAGTTGCCCATCTATCTTTTCTGTCTCATTTCACACGTGCTTGCATCTGCTGCATGATTTTATTTTAGTTTCATATCAATCTTCTGCTGCTGTCTGCAATTTGATCTTAACCAGAGTATTATAGGGAACAGGGAACTGTTTAAAAGATGCATAATCCTGGGATGTCCTGAAAAGCACCCATTCCGACTACTGTTGGGACATTCTCATGAAATAAATTCATAATTGATGGTCTCAGATGATTCCTCAGAAATTAGATCTCTCTGAAATACCAGGCACTTTGTTTGACATCATGGACATCGAATGACATAGAGTCGAGCATGATGGTAGTCCTATTTCTAAGATGACTGAAAAACAAACAAACAAACAAAAAAATCCACCACTCAAATCAACAGACAGGGAAACATGCTAAGAAGAGGTTATCCTCAAATTTCAGGCCTGTCTTGGGATGTGGTCCACATGTGTCTGGAGTGGGTTAGGGAAGGGAGAGGTAATGGAGAAATGGAAATGACAATGGGAAAGTAAAACTTCGGTCTGGGCTGGAGAGTGGGAAGCTAAAGCAGAGTGGAGCCTAACTTGCTCTTACCTGTGATTCTCATCTCCTCACCCCTGCTGAGCAAATGATCAGGCCCTGATTTCTTTCTTGCTCAAAAAAACTGTTCTAATTCATTCAGTGGGTTCAGAAATAGAATAGAACAATTAAACAATGAAAGAAATGTATCTGTTCTAGCCATGGAAGTCTAGTTTCACGACTGAATCCCATTTTAAAATGTATTTGCTGATTCTGCCTGTCTCATTGTTTTCATCCTTTTGTACTTTTCACTCCTAATCTTCTTGCCAGTTCTCTCTTTTCTGAGGAAGGTTTTTGTTTAAGTTCACATTCTAAATGGCTTTCAGTCAACAATCTAAAAGTACAGTAAAGAAACTTGACTTTTTTGTTGCTGACAACCTTAATAAATGGATATCATATGCATTCCCTAAATTTTAAAAATGCATATTTTGAGAATGCAAATGAATGAAAAGTGACCCTCAACCTGCATCTGAACCCACCAATGACTTGTGACCCTATTTAGCTATTTCTTCATTCTATTTTGAAAACTTGCTTTTTAGTAGTTCTGTCATATTAGTTCAGTACAGACCTTGAAACCAAGAAAAATTCTGACTAAAATAACTGCCTGGTCATGAATAAGATGGAGTTGAAATAGAACAAATAGGATTGGCTAGAAGAAAAGAGAGAGTGACTTAAACTCAGCATAACATGTTAGATGGTATATTTTTACATTATTATAACTTTTAAAATTTATGTTAAAATATACATTGTTCCACTCCTGACTGAAAATAGAGGGGTTGGAGAAGCATGCAGAATGGTCTAATGAAGCAAGTGCCTGAGTGCCGGGGCCTTCCTTGGGAAGGGTGGGCTCTAGGCGTGCTTGCTTCATCCATCCCCTGGGCTTCTCTTGCCCTTGGCACCTGGTGTCCTCCTCTGATTTTTTGCATTTCCAAAGTCCCCGCTCTGAGAGATCACAGCACAGTATTGTTCCTATTTTCCCCATTTCTTACCATTGATGTTTAGCCACCTACACTATTTCCTTAAGGTTCTGGTTTTTGGTTAGTTGAAAACATTTGGCGTCTGAGTCAGGATGGAACTCCCTGAAAGAGAGTTAGCATGGGCTGTGGTAAGTAGAATGGTGAGGGAAATAAAAAACTAGAACACAGTTGGGCCTAATGGCTTCTTGGTCCTGCTTCCCCCTGCCTTTTTCCTGTTCTCTGCTCCCTCTCTCTGCCCTGTTCACCCCTTGTGAAGGCATCCAGTTCTCTTCCTTTGTCCTTATCCGCACCTCGCCCATTGCCAGTTGGCTTCATCTCTGTCATGCCAGGCCATTGGTGGCCAGCGTGTCACAGATTCTCTCCTTGAGGTGCCCGTTCCTCTCCCCATACAATGTGTCTGTAGCAGACAGGACCCCATGAGACCGGGGACGTTTGGTGGGGCAGGGTTTCCTTGGAACAGGCTGTGGGCAGGAAGACAATGCTTGTGTCAGAAAAATGCTGACTAAAATAACTGCCTGGTCATGATTAAGATGATGTTGAAATAGAACAAAATAGGGTTGGCTAAAAGAAAAGAGAAGGTGGCTTAAACTCAGTTAGCATACCATGTTAGGTGGTATATTTTTACATAATCATAACATTTAAGGTTTATGTTAAAATATACATTGTTCCACTCCTGACTAGAAAGAGAGGGATGTACTGCCAAGCTCACTGGGGAGCCTGAAGACTGTTTGAGGACATTTGGGGAGCCTTGAAGGTCTTCAGGCTGCGGGGCTGCCCTGCAGAGTGACTGGTGAGGTTGGCAGTTCATCTTGTTTCCTTTAGCTAATCCGGGGGGTTGGTAGGCACTGAGGGAGGAAGAGGAGCCCCAGAATGCCTGCCTCGGCATTAGTAGCACGCTGTAGATTTCATCTGAGGGTACTTTTCTCCGTCTGAAGCGGTGTTTGCATTCTGCTTAAATACCAAGTCATCTTCGCTTCCCGGCTAGGTGTAGGCGAACACTGACCAACTTGCAGGCCTCTACTGGGTTTCCCTGATTACATAACTTGCTTGAAAGATAGGTCAGCTCCGGCCAGGTCTCCCCAGCACACTTTTGTCTCAGTAAAGGCGGCGGGAAGACCTACATGATCGCAGGTGTGTTGGTGTGTGTGGTGGCCTTGGGGAGAAAGAAATCCCATTCCCTGCTTAAGGATCTCTGAGAGAATAAGCAGGGATAAGTGGAAAGAGGTCAGTTGTCTGTGGGTACAGAGCTTCATCTGGAAAGCCCTAAGCGGCTGGTAAATCAGGGTTACCCAGACATAGTAGCTTTTGCTGTCTGCTCTTCCTTCCAAAGCACATACGTACACACACACACACACACACACACACACACTGAACTTCCCTTCTGCGCATGAAACTTATCATCCATTGGCAAATCTTACTTTCTCGTGTACATCTAGCTTTACTCGTGCATTTTCTGCCTGCGGAGCCGGCCACCCCCTGTCCCTTTCCCCATCTGTAACACCATTCAAACGGGCGGTCCAACACGGTGACAATGTCTCAGCGAAGCGAGTTTTAGGGTGTTTGTTTCTTTGGGGTGACGGTACATCCGCCAGCTCAGTCCGTCTCTCGCCTCTTTGCATACTATACACCCACAATCACAACGTGTAGTGAGACAAGTGTCTCCCCGGGTTCCGGAGTTCAATGTCAGAAGTGGAGCGAGCAGCAGTGG